GGATTGCTTAAACTAGAAATCTGTAAAGTTTCTGAGAAAAAAAGCAGTAATACCTAAGACCATTTATCCATGGTTTCTATATTGTTCAGCGTCGTCGATAACACTCGTTGATCTTGAAATTCCAGCCGCATGACAAGAAGAAATATTCGTGGTAGAAACTGCTTAAAGTTAGAAAGAACGGTCGATCAAGAAGCGCGTATTGTCCTGGAAAGAGCCAATGTCCATGAAAGTGATGGGCACTAATTTCATGCCTCGCGGAGAGGAAGTCAGATGAAAAATTGGTGATCACTTAAATAGTTCACTTATCCAAACAATTATACTTCACTATCAGCTTTTATAACTTTACTTCTCAACTAATTCATTATTTGATTCTTTCTTTATAAAGGTGGTTTTAAAATATGGATTCCTCTGTGAGTAATGTTTAAAACCTTCTCAATATTATTCGATAGCTAACGCTTCTAAATTCATCGTGTTGACTAATTGTACATTCAAAAATACAATCCTATGGCAAATATATTCTATTGTGTCAGGTGTGTAATCTGTTATGGTCCATTGGCAAAGAAAACGCGGTGTAATTTCAGAAAATATTACCTACAATATCTTCTTACTGATTATTAAAATAAACAGTGTTTGAAAACTGGAACGAGAGTCAGTTTGTTAATTCCTCAAGGCTGGATGTTTTGTCTTTTATTGACACGTTGTCGAGTAACCAATTTGCACACGACCAGAGGTTAACGTAATCTCTTACGTAAATACGAAGCCAAGACATTGACACCTAAAAGCTGCAAATTGTTTACAAAGTGAAAACAATCGAGGGCACTCACATGTATGCAAACTTTCCTGATCAGTTGGCTGACGGTTGTTAAGATGCTCTCGAGAACAGTACTTTCATTCTTACTTGAGTGAGGTAAGTTTCGTTTCGAAAAATCATCTTTTCGGTAGAGAGAATATTGAAATTCTCGGCTTCAGCGGAGCACAAGTCAATATTGTGTTTAAGATTATGACAATCTAATCCCTTGCCATACAAACTCTCACGAAGTCTCTAAACTTAAAGAAAGTCAAACACAAAACTATCCGTCCTAATTTATTTTGTCAGACATCGTAGATACTTCTGACATGCCTGGGATGGTTTAACAATTGCTCTCAAAAGTGGAAATCACAGCTACATTTCTTTCCAAATAAATCTCTCTTAACTGATTTTACGATATAATCACTTCTTAAAAAACGCAGGTATTTCAACTTATGCAATCACAGTGACTGAGTTTGTTTATTCAGTATGAGGCAACTCACGTATTTTTACGACAGCTAGGGAATTCGGTCATCACTAGAAACTTCTCTTGTTTTGAATGAAGGCACTTAAAATTAAAATAACACTTAAAATTCCCCTTCTCAAAATAATGTAACCTATAAGCGTTGTGGCTCACGATGTTGCCTTTTCACTCAACATCGCGTCGAATTGTTATGGTAGCGAGATCTAGCCGTGTAGCTCAAGGGAAACTATTGTAACAATAAACTACAGCAAAAAAA